CACACACACACACACACACACACACACACACACACACACACACACACACACACAGACACAATATCAACAGGATTGTGCAAAAACAAAAACACTTCCACACACACACACACACACACGCACACACACACACACACACACACACACACAATGTCAACAGGATTCTGCCAAAAAAATAATAATAAAAAAATACCCTCACTTCGACAAGGTTGGGAAGTGGGTGTCACTTATGCCGGTTAACGGGAACAACGTCTTCACATTCGGCCCCCACCTCCCAACCTCAACGTCACAGACAGACACAAACTCGACCAGACAGACACAAACTCGACCAGACAGACACAGACTAACCCAGACTCACCCAGACTCATCCAGACTCATACACAGTCACCCAGAATCACCCAGACTGACACAGACTTATCCAGACTCACACAGACTCACAGACTCACACAGACTCATCCAGGCTCACACAAACTCACACAGACTCACACAGTCTGACCTAGATTCGCACACCCTCACACAGAGTGACGCAGACTCAAACACATTGAAGCACTATCAAACAGAATCGAACAGACTGACGCCCAATTCATCAGAGAATAAAAAAGAGTGACACGGACTGAATGAAGCTCAAACAGACTCACCCAGACTGACACAGATTCAAAGACACTCACACAGACGCACCTACACTCACACAGAGTCACACACACTTGCTCACACCTACACACGGTCAAACACACTCATCATAAAGTGAGCAGGGTCAAGGCATGGCACTTTAGATGACGTATCCCTAAAGCATGGCCAACCTTTCAACACGGTTGGGTAGTGGGAGCCGTTTACCGAACAATGGCGAGACCGTCCTTGTTGAAATGGACTGCACTTGGCAACCACACGATTGGGTTGCATGAAAACTCACCGATTCTTCTGTCGAGAAACAAGTGTGACCATCCATACATCACGGTTGTCCACACGACCATTGAGACACGCACAACGGGACAAACATAAGAAAGGAAAACAGAATGTCATTACCACACAGCATCCTCACACACCGACCCACCCTCTTAATATGAATTGCAACAATAAAAGGAAAAACGACAGAGACACACAAAAGAAGCAGCAGACAAGGGTCTGCAAATTTTCGTCTTAGTTCGTGGTCAACCAAAGACATGATTAGAGAAAATGAGTGTACAGATGTCATTGTTAATGACGGCATTACAAAAATCGAGGACCTATGACCCGAACACATGATCACACACACACACACACACACACACACACACACACACACACACACACATGTGTAAACACACGGACCCGTTCACCTCCAACCAGACTCATTTCTTTTTTTTTTTAGGCGCCCTGCTTTTCACCAGCTTTCCTTTTCTCTTTGACGCCCCCCTTGCCTCCCCTCTCCCTTGCTGTTCAGCAGACCCGGGCGCTGCTTGTTGTTTGTTCATCTCATCAGCGTTCGCCCTCCTCCTCTCCTGTTGTTGTCTGTTCAACTCTTTCTCGTCGAGGATGCCCTTGGTGAAAACTTGCCAACGCGGTTTTTGCAATGCGTCAACGAGCCTCATATCTCGGGGCAAGATCGTGACCCGCTTCGAATGGATTGCAACCTCGTCCGTGCTCTCCATAAGATGCACAACATAGGCTTCAGCTGCCTCCAGAAGTGCTCGAATGGCAAGCATCCCGAACCACACAGGCTCTGTTGCGACCTCTTTTTTCTTGACAATGTCGCGCACAAGCCTCACAAACGGTCTATAAGGGATGCAAAGTTCTGTGCTGCGTTGCAGTCGGCACATCTCTGCCATAGCAGCCTCTCCGGGTCGGCGATTGCGCCTCGGCGGCCCTTGACTCCCTCCAATTTTCCGGCCTGTGTCACCATCCATTGCTGCCCCCCCCCGGCCCCCCCCCCCTCCCCTTCCCCCCCCCCCCCCCAGTGGTGCCCCGCCCCCCCGTCCCTTACCTCGACCGCCTCTCCCTCGTACCATCGTTGTCCCCTCGTTGTCGCGTTTGCTTGTTGTCTTCTGCTTTGTTCCTTGGGCCGTCCGCCTGCTGCCATCGGTGCACACTGCGCCGGTCACCGGCGCGCTCCTCCCAACAACAGCACATCCTGCACCCGAGTCTGCAGCCGGACCGTCAACGTCGCATCCCCCGGGGCCGTCGTGTGGGGGTCCGTTCACCTCGCCTGCCGGTTGTCTCGTCTCTTCGGACTGATGTTCTCCAATCCCCGCATTCTCATTGTTCCCTTTGTCCTCCCCTGCCATGTACTCTATGTGCCGCAGCAAACCATCGGAGTACGTCACCAAAAACGGAACACCCAGAGGGTCTCTGAACTCCATGGACAGGTCTGTCCCGCAGGCATAATGCATGGGACAGACAACGGGTACCCATCCAAGTAGTGCTGACCGCCCGTGTCTGCGGCGAATGCGGTTGAGACAGTTATCAGGATAATCTGCAAAGATGTATGCGCCCGCACCAGCAGCCTGCAGTCCGCACATGTTCTCATCCTCACGACCGTCATATCCACACAACACCATCTGACGGTCCTCAACCTTCAGATTATCCCAGCACATCTTAGCATGTTCGCGCAATAACGCTATATCATTCACCCTTGCATTGCATATCGAAACACGAGCCAGGACAACCATGAATTGTCAATGCTCAACAATACCTGAAGGGATCCAACCCATAGGTACCCACTCGCCTCCTCGAAGTCTGGCAGCCATCGTAACTTTGTTTTCAAAAATGGCAGGATGAAGGACACCAGGTACCCAATTCACATGATACCGGTACATCTCCGCAGATGAATGTGTGCTCAACTCCGTTGTGGAAAAACAGTGCCAGATATGTCAATATTTGGCAGCCTCTCCGTTGTTGTCCTCTCGGGGTCCCATATACTAACGAAGATACCATCATAAGTGACCTCCCTTCCTCCGATGTGCCGCAGACAAATGTTGTCTTCCCCAGAAAAAATTTTCCCCTCTACAATTGGCGAAAACACGGGGTTCTGCAGTGGGATCAGACGTCTCCCTGTCGCAGCATCAACGGACTCCGCCATCTCATACTCCAAACAACGAGACAAGAACTCCCCATTTACATAAACTATGCTCCAACAGTTCCCCATGAGATCGCGCACAAGCATCCTTATCTCCCCATATTCACAAGGAATGTTTGATGGCACCCAACCCCACCACACATCCCGCCTTGCATCATTCTCCTTACACACTCCCTCCCCAACCCGGTTGCTATCAGAAATCACCCATTGTTGGGAGCACTCCTCATGATCGTAAAAGAAGTCATTGAGCCGTAACCCCCCCCTTTCTGCCAACGCCTCGCAAAGGACATGCGTGCTTTTGATCAGATCTAGAAGTGCAACGCCGTCATTCAGCCTTGTCAGTCGGTCGAAAATAATGGCAGCCATTATATACCGCCATGTTGCCAAATTTGGCGGAGAATAAGGAACCCATGTATCACCGGTCTTGAAGGCAAAGCAGTGCTGAGCCCCGATCAAGCCTAGCTGCACCTTGCCGGGCTCCCAGTTGATATCGTACAGGAAATGCGTTCCTGCTTCAGTCTTGGTGATTGTGTCACTCGGAACTGTGCACATTGGAGTGTCTCCATCGCCTGTCCTTTCGCCGTTATCCGCGTCCTTGGTGCCAGCCACACTAATGACACCCAAGAGGCTCTCTGATTTCATTTGCAATGTCAATTCCAGGTTCGTATCGTTACCTGCCACCCCTCTCCCAGGACTGCGAACGAAGTGCTTGTGAGAGTCGTCTCTTACTATGACGTTCAAGATATGTTGATGCACGTCTTCGCTCATGCATGCAATAGTCTCGCCCACCATGTTCGTGGAGACATTTGACTTCTCCATCTATAACACGAGACATGACAGACATGTTGCATAACATGTGACGGCCGAC